AGTTGCTAATTTACTGCTTTCTTGTTGGAAGTCTTCAAAAAGACTGTATGGCTTTATGTGAATTTTTATTATTGTCTGAGTATGTATGTGTTAGTTTGAAGTTTAGATAGCTATGTTTATCCTGATAAACTGTATATTGTAGCTCAGCAGTAAGACTGAAATCTTATGTCAGTAAAAACTGGGTTTCAATACCATGGTGGGCACAGCACAGATAGCCCATTATGTAGTTTTGTGCTTTATAACAATCAAATCAATGTGTGTTGTCTTTTGTATTATCTGTCTTCAGATTCATAGGTTTCATTGTGTGACAGTAGTTTTATCTAGTTAATACAAAAGATAACACAGAATATGAAGTTATGTACAATTTTTCAAACTTCATACTAACACTTACATAGAAAATTTCTGTAATGGAATTAATTTTGCTCATCGATTCTTCAAGGAAGATTTTCCTGTTATTACAAACATGCCTAAATGCCTAGTAATAAGCTTAATTAAATGGCTATTAAGAGAACCAGAAAAAATATACAATGCATGGTAATAAACATGTAACTATCCTAGTTATTGCTACAGCCATAGAAGACACAACTTGTAGTCTACAAAACGAAGAAAAATAATTCAGAAACAGTATAAAACTATCTGTCCAGAAAGCCATGAAATGTAAGCTCCACTTTAATGCCACTCTAACAAAAAAAAACTGCCTCCAGGAACTTGAAGATAACACCATAATGAAGGTAGTACCACCGTAATGGTGAACAATGAAGAATACGTCTCCAAACTTCTTGAAGATGGCCACTGCAAGATCAGTTCTAACCCAACAGTTATCATAGACAAAAATACAGCAAAAAGAATATGAGAGAGAAACACCTTAACAACAGTACACCACAACTTCACCCTATACATTTGTGATCTACTTAATGATCACAAGCATGGCTACCCCCATTGTCCTATAGCTAACTGGATGGATTCACCATGCTAATCACCATTAACAGGTAAATCATCTTCACATATCGAGGCCACAGAAGCAACCATGATAAACTTACAAGACACAATGATCAGCTTTTATCCATCCATCATATTCAGTAATGCACCAAACTTGGAACACTATGGATACTCAACTAATAACCTGAGATATAATAGGACCTTCAAGGAATACACCCAACTGGTAATTTTCATTATAATAAAACTTACAACTTTGTATATCAATTTGTATTAATTCCAACATGATGAGAAATACTACCAATAATAACACACAGGCTTTAGCCATGAGATCACCAGTACTTGGTAACCTCTTTATGGAACATTTCAACGATAAAGCCCACAAAAGAATTTTGAGACTCGGATTTTACTCAAATATGTTTAAGATGCATTTGTAATATGGCCACATACTACAGACAAAATTGCAGAATTTATGAACCATCTGAACAGATACCATTCAGCAGTACATTTTACAATAGAAACAGAATGTTAGATGTGATAGTTACTAAGACACACAATTTGTATACCACAGAAGTGTACTGGAAATCCACCACATACAGTCAGGACTTCTCATAAGACTGTGGTAGATTAGCAACTTAAAGGTAGGATTTAAAGTAATTATCATTTAGTAATAAAAAGACTAATTAGAATTTAGGTGATTGTATAGGCTACTAAGTAACGCAATGATTAATATACAATTACCTAACCTTACCTCAAGTATTTAAATCTTTTGTTTGTGATAGGCAGGAAAATAGAAGTTAAAATAATTACAGCAGGATATTCTGATGATGAAGGAGGAAAAGATTTTCATACATTATCTGATGAAGAAACAGAACAGTTTCAGACAATGATTCTTACTTTACTGGTAAGTTCTAAATTAATAGTAAGATGAGTAATAAAAATAAAACTTTTGACGTGGCAGGACAAGTAGTAGGTGATCAGGGTAGTTTTTGTGTATAGTTTATCGTATTTTTGACTTCAACTCATCTTTGTAGAACTAATTTATCGAGTCATGTGTAAGCACCTTCAAGTTGGAATGACTTCTGTAAACTCTTACTGACAAAAGTATTTTGGTTTGATGAGTGATAAAATTGTGTAAACAGATTAGTAAAGCTTTTTAAATACATTTTTTAAAATTTTGATAACAATGTTTAACAGAATTAATTCAAGATTGACAGCATATTTTTGAAACATGTCAAACCTTATGAACAAGTTTAACACTATTATGTTAATTTTTAAGAATTTGATCATTAATAACAGGTAATAATGGCATGTTATCCTCATCTTCTTGGGTAAATATTTTTATAAAGTTAAACAATACCTGTAGTACAGGGATGTTAATATTATGTATGTATTACAATACATTAGAGGTTTAACTTTTAATTGTCAGATTACTGATTTGACTTTATATTGTTCGCAATCAGTGGTGTTGTTATATTGTATTATATTTACTGATTTTGTTTTTTGCTTGTTACCATACTCAATATAAAGAACTACTCAAACAGGCTGGATAAAATCACTTATTTACTACGGAAATACATAGAGAACTATCAGCAATTTGTAGCATTAATTGTAATATTGATAGTATATTTGATTTTTTTTTACATGACTCATCTTGTTAGGACCATGTAACAACCATGGACCCCATCAATAATTCTAGGATTAAGGTGGATTAACATACACGTGGGAAATTGTTTTCAGTCTTGACAGTTTCCAATTCTGAAAACCTTTGAAAACAAAAGTTGTAAATGCTGTAAGAACAATGCAAAAAATTCCACAAAAAATTGCAGGGAAATGAACTTCAGCTGAGTTTTAAAAAAATTGAAATGCTGTTTCTGTTTAATCTGTAAATGGAACTTCTGAAAAGTGACAAATTAAGGTAGCCAACAGGTGCAACCATTTTCTAAATGATCACAGATGCTTTGAATAAATGTAAATACCTGAAGCCATCATCTTGAGTTTAGTATTACAGAAAAAATGGTGCCATTGTGAATGCTAGAAAGTTATGTTTTTTTAAAGTTCTGTTGTTTGCTAACTAAAATGCTTCCAATTCATTTAAATTTTCAAAAACAAACATCCCTTCACTCCAGTAGAGTTTTTTGTTTTTTTCATTTGCTGATATGTCAATATCATTTTCTGGTTACATTTTTTCCATTGGAACTTTGCCAGATGACTACTTCAAGTACTTTTATGAAGTAGGCAAATGTGTTATTAAGTACAGATTTGAGAAGATTAGAATGTTTCATAAATTAGCAATTTATTATGGATTAGTCAATCTTTGCATATAATTTTAACTAGTTAATTCTTTATTATTGTAATTTACATACCTATGATTTTTTTTTAGTTTCTAAAACAGGAGTGGATTCTATCAATATAAAAATTAATTTACTTAAAAAAATGAATGAACTGTAAACCTGCAAAATATTCAAATCTTGTGGTTTTATAGATTTGAAATGTGTTGAATGATGACCAATATATAACAAAATATAATCTAACAGATGTAGCGGCCTTATTTTTTGCATCTATGGATTAAGTAGCACTAAACTATGGTAAAGTTATATGAGATTGCAAACACACTTGAAAGTTTATCTTTCGATATTTACAAGTACCATAGCAAACAATGAATAATGATATTTATCATTTAGTTATCTTAGTTATATACACACACACGCACGCACGCATACATACATTTGCAAGATAAGTTTGTATGTCAAAGGAATTAAAAAAAGTTTTTCTTTCATAACTTAATTTCTTCTTTTATCAGTTTCATAACTTTGGTTCACACTTAGAATTAATAAAATTGAAAAATTGTATAGGATTCACACTACATATACCCAAAGTAAAAATATGCACAATAAAATTAATATGAGTATAATTAGAATTCACCTACAGCATTCATGTGTTGAACAGAATAGTTATATGTATTATATATATATATATATTTATATCACCAGGAAACGTAAGCTTTTAATAATGTTATTCATTAGTTGATTCTGTTAATGGAAAACAGTGTTCAATCTTATTACTAGTAATTGTTTGGTTATTAGATAGGTGGTTTAATAGAGAAATAGGTAACCAAGATTTTATCTACATTGCTCCATTCTTCTGCTTTGTTCAAATGCAAAAAGTTTGTTTACCTTTCAGATGAAGAACCAAGAAGCAGTCCAGGAAATGGAACGTCAGAAAAAACTTGAAGCTAACTATCAATTTGTTTGGGGAAAAGAATTACCAGAGGAAGAAGAAGAATAGGCACTGTTGTTGGTCATTTTCAATAAAAATCTATTCCTAGTCAGGAAATGTTAGACCAGAAATGACAATAGTTTGTGGCCACTTTTTGTAAAAAAAACTTGCTACTATCGAAACTGAGAAAACTATGTATACCTTATTGAATATCTGGCCAAATAAAATATTTAATTCATGTGTAAATTTTTTTACTTCAGTTCTAGCAAGAATATCTATAAAAAAAAACTGTGTCATTGTGTGAAAAATAATTTTCTTTCTGTAAAAATTTATTGAATGTTTGCTTTTCACAGTTGTCAAATATTATATTTAAAATATGTCTATTATCATGGTTAATAGAGGAATTAGCAGCACATTTCTGTCAGTTGTTTCTAGCCACACACTACTGTTAAATAGAAATACTCCACATGCCAGGGAAGAACACATTTTATGTAATATAATATTTCAATAAATTTGAGCTTAATAATAATATTCATGAGTGTGCTACAGAATATTTTTAAATATTGACATACATTTATTCAACATAATGAGTAACTGACCATTTTCAATTTAATTAAACCTTAAAAGGTTTTTTAGCCATCTTTTTTGTTCCTTTACCCCAATCACAGGTAGTTATTTTTTCTCCCAAAAAAGCTCCTTTTAGATGCATTAATATATCCTTCCAAAGATTATAATCTTGATCACTATTAATCATGATTAACTTTATCCAAAAGACTTATAACTGATCTAGATGTAGTATAATCCATTACTAATTACAACTACCAACCAATATGGAGCAATCAGGATAGAATAACTGCTTACATACTATTAATCCTATTTAAAATGATTTAGAACAAATAACTGACCCAGGTGTCAGCATCACACATTACTACTTACACATTATCTAAATTTAAAAAATTATAACATTTTAACTGACCCATGTGTGGGTATCACACATTATTTAAATTTAAGAATGTATAATATTATAACTAATTGAAGTGTCAGTATCATCCATTACTACTTGCACGTTATTATACTCCAGTAAAGAACTCGGAATATTGTAACTGACCTAAATGCTATCATCCATATAATCAAAAAACATCTTAGGTGTGAAAAAAGGTGCAGCCAAAAAAAGGATTGAGTGTGCGACTTAAAAGAATGAAATCAAAATTGTCAG